TAAACCCCTAAACCCCTAAACCCCTAAACCCCTAAACCCCTAAACCCATAAACCCCTAAAGCCCTAAAGCCCTAAAGCCCTAAAGCCCTAAAGCCCTAAAGCCCAAAAGCCCTAAAGCCCTAAAGCCCTAAAGCCCTAAACCCCTAAACCCCTAAACCCTAAACGGAACTTTCCTTTGGCTGCTAAACGCGGCAGGCGACATCCTTAGGATGCGAGTCTTTCACCGTTGCTACTGTAGGTTCGGCCCCCCATGCAGTACGATGATCTTTAGGGGTTTCATGGTTCGGGGACTTTCGCCCACTTATCCCGCAACTTGCCCCGGGCGACGCAATCTGTACATGGCCCTTCACGCGGGGTCGTCTGTGACCTTCTCGTTTCGCAGCACCTGCACACACAGTTCCTTCAAGAACCAAATGAGCCCTGAACGGGGTTATGGTTCATATACCCGAAACCCTCAACCCTCAACCCTAAACCCTCAACCTTCAACCTTCAACCCTAAACCCTAAACCCTAAATATGGATTTATGGTTCATATACCCGAAACCCTCAACCCTAAACCCTAAACCCTGAATTCTAGTAGTATGTGGGTATATGTCCTCCCCATGTTAGGGTTCATTTTTGGTCCCTTACCAAGGTTTCCTGAGGCCACCAAGCAACAGCTCCCATGCACTACATACGGTCTAGGGTCTTCAGGGTTTTTAGGGCTTTTTTTTAAGGGTTCTTGAGGGTTTTCTTTAGGGTTTGGAGGGTTTTGTTTAGGGTTTTTAGGGTTTTTGAGGGTTTTGGGGTTGTTTGGACTTGTTTTGGGTTTTTTGGGGTCTTTAGGATGTTTTTGGTGTTTTGGTTTTTGCTTTTGATATATCTTTGTAGGGTTTGGAGATTTGCGTTTAGGGTTGCCGACTTCCCGAAAGCCCCTCTCCAAGACCTGACATCCCTAGCATGGTTGCGATAGAACTACACATTTTAAAAACACCATTCCTGAATGAGTTTTAGTACCCTGAAAAGTGTAAAGTGTCACCAACACTGTGACATGCCTAAACCCTAAACCCTAAACCCTAAACCCTAAACCCTAAACCCTAAACACTAAACCCTAAACCCTAAACCCTGAACCCTAAGCTCTCAACCCGAAACTCTCACGAAAGCCAACACCCTCAGGCCTTTTTGCCCAGAACCCTACATGCCGGCGCCTAAGCAACCCCAGAAAGCCCCGAACCCTAAACCCTAAACCCCAAACGCTTAACCCTAAACCCCAAACCCTAAACCCCCATCGCCGGAACAAACAGACATGCTACGAGCAGCCTTATCCCCTAAACCCTGAACCCCAAACCATAACAACACAAACCATAACACCCTAAACCCTAAAACCCTGCACCCTCACCCTAAACCTTAAACCCCCAACACCCCAAACCCTCCTTAAACCCTAAGCCCGCCCTAAACCCTAAACCCTAAACCCTGAACCCTGAACCCTGAACCCTAATTCCTAAACCCTGAACCCGAACCCTTCACCCTGAGGACGGGCTGCCGTAACCCCGGGAAGGGCTCTCGGCCTGGCGATAGAGCACCTTGAGGCGGTTGATATCCTGACGCGCGGAGGCAGGGGGACGCTTATTGAGCTTTCTACAACAAGAGTTTGAATACACAGATGCACATCCTTAAAAAATATTTGTTCGTATGTATGAATGTATGTATGAATGTATGTATGAATGTATGTATGAATGTATGTATGAATGTATGTATGAATGTATGTATGTATGTATGTATGTATGTATGTATGTATGTATGTATGTATGTGTATATATATATATACACATACTTGTACATATGTGCAAACATGTCTGTTAGCTCTGTTTGCTGATGCTGTATAAATTCTTTAGGCTTCTTCTGCCCGGGGGAAAAAGGCACTGAGAGAGCCCCGCGAGCCCAGGCCCTTCAGAAGTTCAGATTTTGAGGGTTTAGGGTTTAGGGTTTGGTTGTTTAGGGTTTGGGGTTTAGGGTTTAGGACTTTTTCGCAAACCTGGTCACACCCCAACCAAGCCCCACCCTGAACCGCTATTGGCCAACTTTCCGAGTGAGGGGTCGTTACCTGCAGCCCTGGTGGGTGTCTTGGGTTGGAATGCTCTTGTCTTGTGAGCTTCCCAGTTACCTCGAAATTGCCTACAAGCCCCAACCTCGGGCACCTAACAACGAACTCTGAACCTCAAACCCACAAGCCTTCCCCTACCTCCCTTAAACCCGAAACGACGTTGACCCAAAAGCACCTCAATTTGGACCGCACAGCTATCACGCGACTGCCACCAAGTATGCCTGTACAGCCACCTAGATCCGGAACTGACAACCCTACACCCGAAACATCCTGAACTCGCTAAACCCTAGACACTTCAACCCCAACCCTACAACCCTGCGACCCCTAAACCCCCAAACTCAAGAGCCCCAAAACCCTAAACCCGACCCTTCTTGTAGCATGGTTACTGGGCTTGGAAAAACCTCATTTACAAAACCTTACAACCCAAGCAGTTACCAACCCACCCGAAACCCCTACAACCCTGCGACCCTGAACCCTGCAACCCTAAACCCAAGCCCTGCACTCAACAGCCCTAAACCCCGAAACCCGAAAAAACCTTACAGCCCAAGCAGTTACCAACCCACCTCTCCAGCGCGGATGCCGGCCTCTGGCTCGGTCGGGGGTTGGAGGGTCTTCGGGCTCAGAGGTCCAAGGTCTTAGGGGGTTTGTCGAGCTTCCCTAAACCCCAAACCCCAAACCCTAAACCCTAAACCCTAAGCCCTAAGCCCGAAGCCCGAAGCCCTAAACCCTAAGCCCTAAGCCCTAAGCCCTAAAGCCCTAAAGCCGAAAGCCTTGGTGGTTTAGGGTGTATAGGTTTAGGGCTCCGGAATTGTGATCTTGAGGCTGGTTTGAGTTTGGGGTTTACGGGTTTAGGGTTTCAGGGGTTGGGGTTTAGGGTTTAGGGTTTAGGGTTTAGGGTTTAGGGTTTAGGGTTTAGGGTTTAGGGTTTAGGGTTTAGGGTTTAGGGTTTAGGGTTTAGGGTTTAGGGTTTAGGGTTTAGGGTTTAGGGTTTAGGGTTTAGGGTTTAGGGTTTAGGGTTTAGGGTTTAGGGTTTAGGGTTTAGGGGGTTTAGGGTTTAGGGTTTAGGGTTTAGGGTTTAGGGTTTAGGGTTTAGGGTTTAGGGTTTAGGGTTTAGGGTTTAGGGTTTAGGGTTTAGGGTTTAGGGTTTAGGGCAGAGTTCATCGAACTTCCCCAAATCCTAAACCCTAAACCATTGGTGGCTCAGGGAAGTTGAGGGTTGGAGAATTAAGATCTTCAGGGTGGCTGGGAATCAGGGTTTAGGGTTTCATTGTTTACGGTTGAGTGTAGGGTTTGGTGTTTGGTGTTTGGTGTTTAGGGTTTAGGGCTTAGGGCTTAGGGTTTAAAGGTTTAGGGTTTAAAGGTTTAGGGTTTAGGGTTTAGGGTTTAGGGTTTAGGGTTTAGGGTTTAGGGTTTAGGGTTTAGGGTTTAGGGTTTAGGGTTTAGGGTTTAGGGTTTAGGGTTTAGGGTTTGGGGTTTGGGGTTGAGGGTTGAGGGTTGAGGGTTGAGGGTTTGGTGTTTAGGGCTTGGGGTTGAGTTTAGGGTTGAGGGTTGTCAGGTCTTCGTCCGCGTTGTGGGGCGTGGTGTCTGGACGGCGGAGGTGCCTTTGGTGGTTTAAGGCAGGTGTCTTCCTTTCTGAAAAAAACGGGCACACTTTTCCCGCCGGATTGTTTTGTAATAAAGGAACCCAGAACCCAAAGAAGGTCAAAGGGGCACCACTGACCTTCCGAGTTGATGGGCAGGATTGAGGCTTCTGGGACCAGCTTCTTTTGCGTGGAGGACCCCCCAAACCCCTAAACCCAAAATCCCATTTCGAAAAAAACCAAAACCTACACCCCAAACCCCAAATCCTGAAACCCAAAACCCTGAACCCTAAACACCCCCAAAAACGTAAAAGCCCAACAGGCACAAACGCCCTGCACCCTGCCTGGCAAATGCGGCCCATTTCGGTCCGCAGCGGCGGGGAAGCTACCGGCTGGCCTTTCTGGATGAGGAACAGGCCTGGGCTCTGATATTTTGAAGGGTTTAGGGTTTAGGGTTTAGGGTTTAGGGTTTAGGGTTTAGGGTGCGTCAGGTTGAATGGTCTGATGACAGGGCCCTTAAAGTCGCGGCAAGGGCTGCCGAGTGCAGCAGGTTACCGAAGTTGTGGCGCCCTCTCTGGGGCCCGGGTTACACAACCGAGAAGATGGACTTAGGGCACCCTAAACCCTAAACCCTAAACCCTAAACCCTAAACCCTAAACCCTTTGTTGGCGAGGGGACCGAACCCCTAACGCCGAACCCAGGCTCACTGCTTCCCGGGTGCTCTCTTCAAGGCCCTTGGCGTTGCCTTCGCGGGGGTTGTTGCTTTGGGGGGCTCAGAGTGGTTGAGGTTTAGGGTTTAGGGTTTAGGGTTTAGGGTTTAGGGTTTAGGGTTTAGGGTTTAGGGTTTAGGGTTTAGGGTTTAGGGTTTAGGGTTTAGGGTTTAGGGTTTAGGGTTTAGGGTTTAGGGTTTAGGGTTTAGGGTTTTAGGTTTAGGGTTTAGGGGGTTTTGGGTTTAGGGTTTAGGTTTAGGGTTTAGTTAGGGTTTAGGGTTCAGGGTTTAGGGTTTGGGGTTTAGGGTTGAGGGTTTAGGGTATAGGGTATAGGGTTTCGAGTTTAGAGTTTAGGGTTGAGAGTTTAGGGTTTAGGGTTGAGGGTTAGTAGTGTGTTCGCGCACATTGTAGTCGTGCCATGGCTTTCTTGTCTGGCACAACTGGCCTTCCCCAGAATGCTGTCCCAGCATTGGGGAACGTTTCGGGAGGTGCGCGTACCGCATTGGGGAATCAAGGTGGAGCAAATGCGTGGTTTGCTCATGGTGCATCATCAGTACCAGGTGACCGTGGTCGATCATTTAGACGTGCATCCTCATTGCCTCGTTCAAGTCCGTATCCAAATCCGGATATGCAACATGTCCAGCAACCACCACAAGCAGTAGTGAATGCGCCCGTCCCGGCCCTTCAGAACCAGCTACCTGCTGCGCCTGTTGCACAAGATGTTGAGATGGACCCTTTGCTGGCTGATATCAACAGGTTGATTAGCTCCTTGAGTCTAGAACCGATGCTGCCTCTGACGAAAGTTGAGTTCACCGACGTGCCTGTTGACCTCGTCAACTTGATGGTGCGACAAGATGATTTCATCAGCAGTGGCAGCTTTAAGGAGCTAGTGCCTGATTTCATTGAGCGAGCCATCAAGGTCTATCATGGAGAGTGCGATGCTTTGCACAAAGCTCTTCATACACTCAAGCTTGATGCTGCGCTGTACGCTCAAGGCAAATGGCCGCGACCGCTGCAGCACAAATCAGGTCAGCAGTTCAAGAAAGAAATGAAAGAAGAGTTCGATGTGGCCCAAAAGAAGGCAGATGACCAAAAAGCTATGGAAGATTTCAAGCGCAAAATTGAAGCCTCGAAGCAGTGGGTTTCCTGGAAGGCTAAGGATCTGGACACAATGAATTTCATTTCCACAAAGCTTGGCGAGCTCTACGACAAGTTGCTTGAGAACCAGATGCGCGTAGACAAGAATGACATGCAGAAGATGAGAGCCCACGTAGTCTGCGTTCTTCATGCCCAGTTGCCGGAGCACATGCACAAGGCTGCCAAGAAGTATGCGGACCGAAGCAAAGACAAAGCAGATTCAGACAAGAAGCGGTTGGACCGTGAGCAGAAATTCGATGAGCTTATTCAGATGTACCCCAAGGTTGCATTAGCCGTTTTCTTTCGCGAAATGGAAGAGCGTTTGATTTCTGTCTGCCTTGCCAGGAAAGAACAAATGGAACAAGAATATCGTCGAGTTAGACGTGGGCAACAATTGACGACTCTCGAGGACCAAGTCTACAACATGAAGGCCGATTTGCAAAAAAACGGCTTTGCCCACCTGGACTCACGGATGACCCAAATATTCCAGCAGAGCAAGTCCAAGGTGAAGGGCAACAAGGTTGGCTCTGGTTCAAGAGGCATGCAAACAGGCGTGCAAAGCAGCAGCCGTCGTCGAAGCAACAGCTCAACGCACCAAAGCAAAAACAAGACGCGCGGCCGTGCGCGCAGTGCAAGCAAAGCAGACAGAAGCCACAGCAAGAACAATCAGCAACGCGACATGTCCACTTCGGCGCAGAACCGGCAAAAAGCAACGAGAACCAAATCTCAAACTTCGAAAACATCGCAGCGAAGCGCAAGGACATCTTCTACGAGAGGGCGATCCAGCGCGCAGCAGCAAGCTTCCGCCAACCGAAGCTCAAGATCAAGGCAGTCGCAAAGTTCCGTGAGATCTATGACCAGCCAACAGAGGAGCTTCAGCCGCAACACCTCCCGCAGCAAGAGCAATCGTTCCAAGCAGGGCAGCAGATGCAGCAGCCGAAGCAAAACAAGCCGCGCGACCTTTACATGAACATTCGTAATCTCCGCCGTTGCCATTTTGGCAACAAACGCCGCGGACACCAGTGCAAGTCTACGACCCATGTACAGCACGAATCACCCCGCAACCTTACAGCGCTCTTCTTCGAGTATGTACAGCAGCTGACCTTGGTTGATTTGGTTTTGATTCGAAAGTTCATTTCCCTACACCAGACAGATGTGGATCCAGAGACTTTTCCTCCAGCAGCACAGACATTGCTCATCCTCGGGGACAAATTCATTCCCATGGCGCAATGCAGTCGTCACTCGCTACGAGATTCTCTACAAGACCTCGTGCGCAAAGTGAAGTTGCGACTGTTCTTTGACAACAGACCCAAGAAGCAGAAGAATCAAAACACTTTCTTCAAGAGTTTTCGACTACCATCACGCTTCATCCCGAAGCTCGATGCAGAGATCGAACAAGAGTTAGAGTCATGGTCTGAGGGCTTGTTGTCCAAAGCTTGCAGATTGATGCATCTGCAGCCGAAGCCAACAACTCCCTTTTTCATACAGAAAGCCTTGGTATGGCTTAAAGAAAACAGGCATTTTGTTTGCAAGATATCCGCCGACAAAGGGTATGGCCCGGCATACATTTCAACAGGTCGTCTTCGCGAGCAATACCTGCGTGAAACCGCTGACGGTGCCTTTACAAAGATTTCAAGCAGTCAGCTCATGTGGTCATTAATTGCAGCATATGATCAGTTGCAGGCGATTTGCGACAGTGCAATACAGAATCGTTTGGTTGATGTTGGCACCATGCGCTTCATTCTACAGCCTTTGCGTGAGCTCGGGTTTCCAAATCCTCGCAAAGATGTATTGCCTGACGTTTTGTCCTGTGTTGGGAAAATCCGATACCTCGTCAAACTGCACAAACCTGGATGTAAGTTGCGGCGAGTGGAAGTTGATACAAGATCCCCGTTCAACAACTTGACTTTATTTGTTTCCAGCATTTTGCGGCAAGTCGTTACAGTTTGCCAAACAACTGTGCTGGATTCCAAGCAAGTACTATTGGACCTCTTAGATCAGCCTCCTCCTCTTTCACTCGAGCCCAACTCTGTGGTTTTCGTAGCTGCCGACTTGCAGGACTTTTACCCACGCATCAATCTGGACTCTCTCCAGGTATCACTTCGTTCTGGATTGGATGCCTATTATGGCGTAAATGAGGCTGCCAAGAACTTCGTTGCCAAATTAGTCTTCATCATTTTGCATAACAAAGCGGTTCTGATCAATGGCAGCCTTTATCGCAAGGCTAGGTCATTGAGCATTGGTGAACGCATTGCTACTGATGCTGCCAACATACACCGTGAGCATCATTTCGGACCTCTTGTGCGCGAAGCTTTCCAAACCGGGTTGCTTTGCAAATATTATGGATATGTCGATGACACCGCCAGCATTTTTCGCGGAAGTTTGGAGTCTACCCAAGCTTTCTTGACGGCTCTTCAGAATGTTGATCCTGTTCAATTTTCGTGGACTTTCAGCATTTCACGGTCTCAGCTTGACTTCTTGGATCTTTCCATCCGGTTTGATGGGAGGCAGCTGCACACCTTCGTGCACAAAAAGCCGCACCACAATCCACAGTACCTGCACGCATACAGTGAGCATCCTTTGCATTGTCGGAAGCATATTTTCAGAAGCCAAGTTGCAAGGTTTCTGGTGTTGAATAGCACTGAACGTGGCTTTCTTGATGATGTGAGTTCTTTACGCCAACAGCTTGCAAAAAGGTTACATCCCGAATCTTGGTTTTCCCAAGCCAAGTACGATGTGGATCGCCGGACAAGTTTGCTGAACAAGCTACGAGCAAGATGCTTCAAATCAGGCTCCCACGGGCATGCGATGCCTACAGTGAGTCCTATCGTATGCAAGCTTGAGTACAGTGAAGAGGCCAAACGTCTTGGGCTTCAAACCGCATGGAACAAGTTGAAAGCCAAACTAGCGCGCTTTCACGCTTTCGAAGAATCAACGTTGCCAGAGGCAAAGTTGACAGTTGCTTGGAAATGTTCTTTCAGTCTTTTCCGGCAAACATACCGGTACAATTTCGTGCCGGGGTGAGGGCTGGGTGGGCTTTTAATGTGCATGCACATAAAAAGTAGCAGCACACATGTCCAGGACGTTACTGATCTACAGCTGCTTATCGCAGCTGTATGGCTGATGAGTGCCTGATGGCACGAAACCGGTACCAGTAGATCAGTGCCCAAAAGCGACGCTTGCGCTCCTTCCTTGAGTAGTGTGTTGGGGTACTGGGGTTTTAGGGATGCTGGGGTCTTCTGGGTGTTGGGGTTTCAGCTCAGGGCCGTGGGTGTTCGGAGTGAGAGCCGAGGGACTTCGCAGGAGGGTTTAGGGTTCAGGGTTCAGGGTTTAGGGTTCAGGGTTTAGGTTTAGGCTTTAGGGTTTAGGGTTCAGGGTTTAGGGTTTAGGGTTTAGGGTTTAGGGTTTAGGGTTTAGGGTTTAGGGTTTAGGGTTTAGGGTTTAGGGTTTAGGGTTTAGCTTCTTGTTGCATGCTTGCAGCTGCACACTTCGCAAAGTCCCAGAACCGAAACCTTCCTGCCCTCAAACCCTGAACTGCAAGGACCAACCCAGGCAGAGATGGGTTCAGGGTTTTGAGGAGTTGAACCCTGTAAGTTGGAGAGATACCCTGAAACTGTGGGGTTTAGGGTCTAAGACCTACAGGGCAGAAACCCCCCCCCCCCCCCTTCCCCCCCAAAACCCTAAACCCTAAACCCTGAGCCCTCAGCCCTAAACCGCCTTCGACGGCTGCGATGAGCTGACGTTCCCGGCCGGCGAGGTGCAGCACGGCCTACGACTGAGCTTTGCACGGCGTTTAGGAATTAGAGTTTAGGGTTTAGGGTTTAGGGTTTCGAGGCGATAGCCTTGGGATGTTCCCCCTTATAAATACAAACAGTCCTTAATCGGGATAATCGTACGCCCTATAATCATCTCTATACAGGACTGATCATGATAGTATAAAGGGGAACATCCCAAGGTATGGCATCCGATGTTTTGGGGCCGCGCTGCCTCGTGCTTTGCCCCAGCACGGGGCTGGCACTCTAATAGCCGAGCTATCCGCCTGGGCATGCTCCGGAAAAACTGAGGATGAGTCGAGGGTTTTGGGTTAGGATTTAGGGTTTAGGGTTTCGGGTTTAGGGTCTAAACCCTTAAGCCCTAAACGCCAAAACCCGAAACCCTAAACCCTGAACCCTAAACCAAATTTTCAAACCCTAAACTCTAAACCCTAAACTAAACCCTAAACCCTACACCCGTGTTGGGGACTCAGGGATGTCTCGGCTTAGCCGCTTCGTTGACTGGGTGGAGGAGGCTTGGGAACGGGGCGGCTGGGGCTCGGAGCTTTCTCCTTGGAAGGGGGTTTAGGGTTTAGGGTTTAGGGTTTAGGGTTTAGGGTTTAGGGTTTAGGGTTTAGGGTTTAGGGTTTAGGGTTTAGGGTTTAGGGTTTAGGGTTTAGGGTTTAAGGTTTAGGTGCACTCTGCGGGACTGTTTTGGGATGTTTTTGGGGGTTTGGGGGCTTATTGTAGAATCTGCTTCGCTGAAGGTTGGGGGTCTAGGGGCTGTGGGTAAAGCTTTGTGGGCCGAGAACATTCGAAACCACCCGTTGAGCCCAAGCTTGTAGGCCCTACACAATAGTAAGGCTTCTGCACCTGTGCCCCTGAACTCCTCTTCCGGTCGGCCCCTGAAACCCTCAACCCTAACGCCGAAACCCGAAACCCTCAAGCCCCCGTAACTTGAAGTCATTCAAAGGTCCAAAAACGAAACTTTCCTCGAAACCTCTCGAAACTCCTCGAAACTTTCCCCGGACCTGACCCTTGTATAATTTCAATAAACCCTAAGCCCTGGCCTTAAACCCTAAACCCTCAACCCCAAACCCTAAACCCTAAACCCTAAACCCTAAACCCTAAACCCTGAACCCTAAACCCTACACCCCAAACCCTAAACCCTAAACCCTAAACCCTAAACCCTAAACCCTAAACCCTAAACCCTAAACCCTAAACCCTAAACCCTAAACCCTAAACCCTAAACCCTAAACCCTAAACCCTGGTTTGGTTGCTCCAAGCCCCGAAGGGCACATGCACGATCTGAGCACTGGGCACGTGGGAGCTGACGAAGTCCTGCGCGTCGAGCTTAAGAGGCTTCTTAAGAGCCCGAAGGTCCCCTTAGAGGGTTTAGGGTTTAGGGTTTAGGGTTTAGGGTTTAGGGTTTAGGGTTTAGGGTTTAGTCCTGAAGAGGGACAGCAATAGGGGTACATTAAGAATATCCCAGACTGTGACAATCAACGCTTGTAGGCAACAAAGGAGGCTTTGATATCTTAAGTTTGACATCCTGGAAAAGGTGCAAGGCTCAAACCCGAAACCCTAAGCCCTAAAATCAACCCTTTGCCCTAGGCACCAAACTACCCTAAACCCTAAACCCTGAACCCTAAACCCTAAACCCTGAACCCTAAAAACACCCTCGCAACCTTGCGCTACCTGTCAGCCTGGCACCCTGCAGCCTAAATCCCCGTAACCCTAAGCTTTCATCCAGGGCTTTAGGGTTTCGGGTTTAGGGGTTCAGCCTACATGTGTGAATAGAATGGGCCCCCTAAACCCTAAACCCTAAACCCTTAACCCTAAACCCTAAACCCTAAACCCTAAACCCTAAACCCTAAACCCTAAACCCTAAACCCTAAACCCTAAACCCTAAACCCTAAATTCTGGGTTTCGATTCTTAGCCATGTCGGGTTCTGAGCTTAGGGAATCTGAGAGGATGACGGCGGGAGGTCTTCGGTTCCCGGTAATACGGGAGAGCTGGGTAGTGAGGTGGCATTCGGGTTTCTATGGGCAAGGGGCGAGTAGGATGTCTACGGCTAGGGCCCAGGGGTTTAGCTGGGGGTGGTTTGGTTTAGGGTTTAGGGTTTCGGGTTTAGGGTGTAGGGTTTAGGGTTTAGGGTGAGAAAGACAGGCCGTGATAAGCAGGAGCCTCCCTGTCCCATTCTTTTCAGCAGGAACATGCGCACTCGAGATGCTTCGGCCGCTCCGGAATGCATTGGGCACGTGTAGTGCTGCCCCGGGCACTGCCGAGAGACTGTACTTCGGACGTCTACGAGCGCCACAGTGTGCTCCCCAGCCCCTACACCCTAAATCCTAAACCCTAAACCCTGGGGCAGCGCATTGGTGGGGGGAGAGCTTCGGTATGTTTTTGGGACTTGCTTCACTATTCTTCCTGGTTAGTAGGGAATGAGGGAATGAGGGCCCTCTAATCTCTTAAGGGGTACATAGAGGGCCCTCATGCCCTGATTCCCTAGCATTCCCAAGGGCGAGTTAGGGGGGGTGGGGGGGGGGGGGGTGGCTTCGGACTTCAAGTTTCTGAGAACTGAGAACTGCGGAGCATGAGGCGCTTTGAAAGGCTGCGTAGGCCACGTGGGCTGCCGGTGCTTGGGCTTCAAGTGGGAGGTTGCAAAGGTTTACAGAAGGCTTCCATGCTTTTTTCATGCATCCTTGAACCCTCTACCCTAAACCGCAAACCCTAAACCCTCGGCCAGCCCAAGCACCGGGGCCATAAGGAGTTCTTTAAAAAGCCTGCCGCCACCGCGGGCGTGGACTTGGGTGCAGGAGATTTCAGGGCTTCAAAGTGGGGAGAGGGCAGGTTGTCGACTCCCCTGCTCTTCACGCCGCACACCCGAACCAGCGTTCACCCGAAACAGGAAGATTAAAAACTTGCCGCGGTATGGAAGAGGCTTCCAGGCCTCTCAGGGCTGGGTGGAAACTTTGGGCTTTAGGCGGCTTTGGTTCGGGAGGTTGGAATATAGGCGTCGGAATAATTGCCAATAGCATTCCCCTTTGGTCCCTGTGTAATTAGATACCCCCAAAACCCTATCAAAATTTATTCCCCTACATTCGGGAATTTTAGGGGTCGCAGTCTGAGCCCCATCGCAACGTAGCCACGTGGGGGCTTGTGAATCGAAGGGTTCTTCTTAAACTCTTCTCCCTACGCCCTAAACCCTAAACCCTAAGGTCACCTCAAACCCAAGGAGCGTGCTTGTCGAAAGCCTTTGCACCCTGAATGCATCCGCACCTGCAAGCCGCATCCCAACCATCCTGAATCCCAAACCCGGAGCCACTCATCCTGAGTCCCGAGCCTCTGAAGCCTGCAACTTGAAGCCCAAACACAAGAAGCCTAAGGTCAACGAAATGTCGTCCAAGTTGCTCCGTAAACCCTGATTTCTAAACCCCCAATCCCCGAAGTCCTAAACCCCTCCTTGCTCCCCTGAAGCCCTCAAGCTTCCGAGTCCCCAAGCAAACCCTGAACCCTAAACCCTAAACCCCAAATCCCCAAACCCTAAACCCTCAACCCTAAACCCTCAACCCTCAACCCTAAACCCTCAACCCTAAACAAGCCCTTGCGCCCCTATGGGACGTTCTCCGCGGTGATCTCACCCGGCAGGGGTGGCCCTGCTGGCGCCTCTTCCGTTGGCTTAGTTCGGGTTTTAGGGTTTAGGGTTTAGTCCAGAGGTTCAGGGTTCAGGGTTCAGGGTTCGGGGTTCAGGGTTCAATGCTTAGGGTTTAGGGCCCAAGAGATTTAGGGGTCAGGGGCTTGGCTGCTTTAGATGGTTGGGTCTCCCACCCCAAGCCATCTCAGGCAGCAAAAACCTAGGGTTTAGGGTTAAGGGTTAGGGTATAGGGTATAGGGTTTAGGGTTTAGGGTTTAGGGTTTGGGGTTTGGGGTTTAGGGTTTAGGGGTTAGGGGTTAGGGTTTAGGGTTTCGGGTTTCGGGTTTAGGGTTAAGTACCGTAACTTCATCCCCGTCGAGTTTAGGCCAAGCCAAATACAGGGGCCTAAACAAATATCAATAGTATCCTCTTGTGATGTAACCAAAACCACGAAATAATTCTCAAGGGAGAAAGTTTAGGGTCTTGGGTTTAGGGATTAGGGAATAGTATCCCCTTATCGCCTAGGCAAGGACTGTATGGTAGCTGTTCAAGATACCATTCCCCTGTTACTGGGACTCTCATCCCACGGTCCCCGTGAAAGGACCTTTAGAACAACCTCTCGTGAACTAAGGGT